ACCTGTCTGTCTATCTCGCACACTGACTGCCTTTAGGCAATTCCCTTAAGACTCATCTCTTCAGGGAAGCCTATCCCACCTCAACCTAACCACTGAACAATCACTTTCTCAAACAATCATCCCCACACAGCTACCTCCTCATGTATCGCTTCCCCCTCCCTTTTAGATTGTAAGCCCTCGTGGGCCGGGCCCTCCTTACCATCTTGTCTTGATTTTTGTATTGTAACTGTAATGTCTTCCTTATATTGTAAAGCGCTGCGCAAACTGTTGGCGCTATATAAATCCTGTATACTAATAATAATTTAAGGTAAGTCCTTACACCAGCATGGGGGGGATGACTTTAATGACACTTTAATATTACAGATTGTGGTTTGTAGTGATATTTTGTGGCTCTAGCATAGCAGATATAATGTAGTGAAGTGTCAAGAGCAGCTATGGAGAGGCATAGTTTAATGAGCACTCATGAGTCCTCCTGATGTGTTTTTTTTTAGCCGATAGAAAGCTTGTCACTAGGCAAAAACAAATGCACGTTACTTGCGTTTCCAGGTGTTCCATTTGAAGTATGTTGGGGCCCAAACGCATGACTCTGCCCTCAAAATGTACTTTTGCGAGCAACAAGCTTCAACATTCACTACATTCAAGTCTAAGTAGACACCTTTGAATAATGAAAGTCCTAGTGTTGAGTGTTAAAGTGCTTCTGCTGAAACTTCAAAACTGAGACTGACACCCCCCTTCTCCCGACGCAATTAGTTGTAGAGAGGCGCATTCCTGGCGCCACAGCTAACTGCCAGGGTTTAAATGTTGAAACAGTATAGTGCTTAAAAATATACTGTAAAAGAGCCCTTCTCAACCAGGGTGCCTTCTGGCCTCCTCAGGGGTGCCTCTAAATTTCCAGATGTGCAGAGAGCTCCTGAAGGGAAAGAGGGGGCTTCTGATGTGAAGAGAGGTTCCTAGTGTGAGAGTGAGAGGACTGATGTGACCCCGTTTTGTGTTTTTGCTTAGGGTCTCCACTTAAGATCCATACCAGACCCACTATCTCTTCAAAAAGAGGCCTGGTATGGTTTTCAGAGGGACAACATGTTGCTTTTTTACTTTTATGGTTTTTAGACAGTGGTGCCTCGAGGTTTTGCATTCTTTTAAAAGGCTGCCATGACTGAAGAAAGGTTGAGAAACGCTGGACTAGAACGATTAATAGATAATAATTATATCCACATACTGACCAAATGATAACAAGTGCATATGATACGAAGAACATAAATATTTATTCCTTTAACATAAATAATCGTGGTATAACATGGTCATCCAATTCCACTGGAACAAAACTTCTGTAAGTCCACACTCCTTGCTCTGTGTATTTAAAACAAAGATGAGACCCCTGGTGAACACACGCCTTTCACCTCAAAGGATGGACTTAATAACTATTTTAAGTCTCATTAAGCTTGTTTCCCAACCTTGAGGAAATAAAAGGGTTGACATCAAAGTAGGTTTCCCTAGAATTTTCAGTTTCCCTTCTGTAACCCAAAAACAATACTAGCTGGTGAATTAGCTTTTGACCATTTTGGTCCTTACATGGGTCTTCGTGCTAGTATGACCATGGTAAGGATGTTTTACTGGGGAACCGAATGAAGAAAATGGCTGTGTAATAATCTGTGCTTAGTAAATAATTGAGGAATAATTGTCGTACATGTTCTCGGCCTTTTAACCCAACTGTCTTTACATTGGCTTCTGCAGACCCAAAGAATGGAATGAACCTGTTGTACTCTTGATTCATGTCCGTGTCTGGGTACGGCATCTGGCTAATGTCGTGGAGCTTGATCTCTCAGCGTAAGTGAATTGCAAGGTAACTAATGGCCTGGATGGGAAGGGGGTTTAACACCGCGGATGTCAACTGGTTAAAGGAAGCTTGTATTGTGCTCTATTTGAAATTGCTAGTCTCTTGTCTGTCTCTGGCGTTACTTTCTTCACTTTCCTGGAACAAGTATGCAGCAAGTGATATCGCGACTCATTAGGGATGCACCGGTACTGATACCGACTATTTGGGGCGAGTACTCTTACTCTCCCAAATGCTGCGATACCCCCGATACCAGAACTTCCTATCAGAGGGAGATCTCCTCTGACTGGCAATGCCGCAAGGGAACATGGAGTCGGCTTCCCGGCCAATTAGGAAGCTGGGCGACTCGCCTCCCGGCTTCCTGATTGGCTGGGAAGCCAGCTTCCGGGCCAAACAGCATGGAGCCAGCTTCCCGGCCAATCATGAAAGCCGGGCAGCGGGTAATGATTGGCCGGTCTCCATGCTGGCGGAAGTACCAGTATAGGCAAGTACCGAAAAATATTGGTACCCTTGCGCGGTATTGGCGAGTAGTGAAGAATAAATATCTAACAAAAAAAACGGTATTAGTGCATCCCTAAGACCTATGATAGGCATCCTTGTTCTGGATCGTTAACTCAGAAAGCACTGATGCCCTTGGGTCATCACAACAGCAAAGTGGCTAGCGAGCTTAATCAAAGCAGTGGCTTCTCACACAATTCTCTCAGCACAGGCTTCCTTTTATTTATTTATATATTTATTTATTTTTTGGACAATAAATTCTGGTATGTATTAGCATCAGTATTTAGATACTTCATTGTCTTGTAATATTATATTTTCAGAATCACAGCAGAGAGAAGTATGGTATTGCTCTGCTTTAAAGACCCAACTGAATAGTGATCATCAGGATGTCTCTCAATCAAAGTTTTCTTATGTAAGTCAACATGTGTTTTAGATATACGTACACCTGTACACAGTGCATTAGAGGAGGTCTAAAGTCCCATCATATACTATCCTGTTATAACATCAGGATTGTAATAGGAATACATACTAGAGGTGTTTTTGATAATACAATCAAAGCTTACTTGACAAAATCCCTTTTATGTAGTGAATGCTGCCTTCTGTCTGTCCATCACTTTCAACAACTTCCTGGATTCCCGGTGTGCTTTGCGTCTCTTTCCCTGCTGCTTGATGTGATGCACTCTCAAATTTGTAAGGCTACATAGCCCATAATGCATTGCTTCCAGCAGGCAATGATAATGTTACATTGTGGCAAGTTCAGACAATGAGTTGTAGTTCAGACAGCAGGCTTAGTTAGAGCTTTAAAATAAGTACATATTCACAGGGCTGAGTGAAATTGTATCAGTACATTGAGGAAGTACATCTTATGACCATCTTCAATATGTAAGTTTACAAACTTCTAGATGGATATGGTTATATTGAGTGAGATAGAACTTATGGAAATATAATCTAGAAATACAGATTTATTTTTAGTTTTTGACCACATATACCCTTTAACTCATTGCAGTCGTGCATGAACTGTGCTGCTTTATGACAAAGATAACTTTAAGTTTCCCATGAAGTAAAAATGTGACAAATATAATTAGCTTGTTTTCTTTCATTTCTTGTCCTGTATTGCTTAGCAGAGGGTTTATTTTGCATCTAGACCAAAAAAACTGCTTTTATGTGTTTTCTAAAAATCCCTTTGATGTGTGTACAAGTACGTGTAAAAAGTGTGCTTACTGCACTTAATGTTCGAGATGCAATGTCCACCCTTTCACTGGTTATACACTGTATCTAATTTGGTGGCTGTTATGTGGATTGCAAGTCTTGATAATTAATATTATTACTTCTGTTGCTGGGGCTGCCTTTTAGTCCCCATTCACACTTTCGCATCGTGTAAACACACGCAAAATGTGTGCATTGACGCAGGTGCACGCCACACGTCAAAAACATGCAATATGCTTGCGGGTGCCATTATTTGTTAATGACCCCCGGAACGTGGGAAAACTGTTTGTTTTTTATCCCGCGTTGAACGCGCACAAACCCATGGTGAAAAAAATGTGGTATGCCTGTAGCAGAATCTGCTACATGAGCTACTTCCCTGTGTCACGCGTGCGGCACCCATTGAAACCAATGCACAATGTACAGCAAATGGGGAAATAAATGTACACGAATGTGAGTCAACGTGATGCACATTCCTGGTACATGGAGGTGTGAACGGGACGCATTTCTGGTACATGGAGGTGTGAACAGGACATTAGTGTATACACATTTATTGTAGCTTAACTAAGCAAAGACAAATGATCACTTTATTTATATATCCTGTATGTGTATGTATGTATATATATATATATAGATCTATATATATAGATCTATACATATATAGATCTATATATATAGATCTATATA